CATCTCCAGATACAGCTATCTACCTGTTTGTGAAAATAGTTGCTATAACAGAAGGTTAGGATCATTGATTTACTCCTTTATTCATTCATATATTTAGTGCCTTGCAAGGCACTGGGAATTCAGAAATGATTAAGAGGTAGTTTTTGTTTTCTTAGAACTCAAGGTTCATAGGAATTATGTGAACAAACATGGTATGGTGTAATGAATGGAAGAAGGCATATGAGCAGATGTACTAGTGTGGTGTCCTCGGTATAGCTGTGGACACTGCTAGGAAATACAAAGAGTACAGAGTGGGTTTAGAAGAGGGGAAGAAAGAGAGGGGACTTTACAGTGAAGGTGAGCCAAGTTTTCCAAGATGAATTGGAGTTTTACCAGGTGGACAGGAAGCCGGGAAATAAAATGTTTTACCTTGAATTGGACCAGGGCTGTGCATATATGCATATATAGGATATGTACAGGTTGGAAATGTTACAGTGGTATTGAGAAATGTTACTAGGAAAATTTTTTTTTTTTTTTTTTTTTTTTGGTTTTTCTCTGGTACCGGGAACCGAACTCACGACCTTGCACTTGCCAGGCAGGCGCTTTGACGCTGAGCTAAATCCCCAGCCCCCAAATTTTGTTTTTTTTTTTTTTTTTTGTTTTTCTCCGGTACCGGGAATCGAACTCACGACCTTGCGCTTGCCAGGCAGGCGCTTTTGCCACTGAGCTAAATCCCCAGCCCACTAGGAAAATTAAAAAAAAACTTTTTCTTACTATCAACATTGATTGGTCAAGAGGTAAAAAGCTACCCATTTTTCTTTGTCTTGGCTTTTTTTCCTCTATTTTCTTTCTTTTTTGGAGAAAGGGTCTCACCCTGCAGTTCAGGCTGGCCTTGAACTCACTGTGTAGCCCAAGCTGGTCTCAAACTCACAGTGATCCTCCTGCGTCAGCCTCCCAAGTGCTGGGATTACACCTGGTATTGTCCTGGCTTTTCTGCCTGCTATTTGATACAGAAAGTAGTTGGATTTAATATATTCCTTGGGTACAAGGCTTTGTTTTCTCTTTTTCGAAACAAATAGTTTTTGTGATAAAAATGATAGGTAGCACATTTACAGTAACTTGTAGCCAGGTGTTCTAATTCTCTTCTCAGTCTTATGAGAGGTATTTTATTATTCTTACTTTACAGATGAGGAAACTGAGGCAACAGGGAGCCTAAGTGACTTGCCTGATTTGTGGTGGGTTTCTGCCCACATAGTTTGTTTTCCCAAGTCCATGGTGGTCCCCACCCCCAATTACTGGGGTTGAGCCCAGGGTTACTCTACCGTAGAGCTGTATCTCCAGTCCTTTTATTTTTTATTTTGAGACATGATCCTGCTGAGTTGGTCCAACCAGCCTTGAAGTTTCATCCTCCTGCCTGAACTGAACTTCCCCAGAGTCCATAGTCTTAATCTAAGCACTATACTTCTTTAGGTGACCTTTGGCTTGAAGTTCGTATTACCTTCTGAAGTCACGATTATATCTGGAAGGGAGCTATGATTACATTTAGGGGCAATGTTTATTTTATATCTATTTTAATTGTATATAGTTAATTTTTCCAGATAAAAACTTCAATTTTTTACAGTGAGGAAAACAAGGAATAACAAACTAGATTGGAAGAATTTAATTTCTTGTGCTTAAAGTATATTTGAGGATATATATATATTTTTAAAGCTAAACAGTCTTTATGGGGGCTCAGATCAGGAGTCTGTTTGAATGCCTCTGTGAACCTGTAAATTTTCTTCTCTGTATTCTTTTATGCCTGTTTCTGTAGCTCATAATCTGTGGTTTCTTCCCCTGATGGGTCTTGGCCGTCTTTCTTTTCTCCAGAGTGGCTGTCACTGTGGCTGTCCTCATGAGCCTGGTGACCCAGGCAGGCGGACTGCCTGGTGAGCTTCAGAGGCACAACCTTGAAGGCATCAGGAGTCCTTGTTTCTTCTTATCATGGGGTGGTGGGTTCCCATCTCAGACACCTTGAGGTGGTCCGGGGCTGCCTGACCTTGCCTGGTCTGCCTGAGGGTGTGGGTGGGGACCGGAAAGCGGTAGGGGCCACAGTGTAGGTTGGTGTTCATTTGCCTAGGGAGGAAGGCCAAGTGTTTCACCTTGTTTCTGTAGAAGTTGCTAGAAATATTGATGCCCTCAACACACAACTACCACCTTCTGGTGCAATATTACCTGCGGGGCCACAATTGCCAGCAGGTGGCCCACAAGATGATCTTGTCCATCCAGTGCCAGGAACTGACTCTCTATCGTATTCAACAGCTGCCTGAAGAAGGGTACATTCTGCTTTCCCTCATGGGATCAGTAATGCTTTTTTCTTCCTTTTTTTTTTTTTTCTTGTGATGCTGGGACTAAAAACCAGGGTTTATACAAGCTAGACAAATATGCTACCACTGTGGTACATCCTCAGCCTTTTTAGACTTGTCTTTAGATCAAGAATTTGAGATACCATAATCTGATAATTTCATTTTTTTACCCTTTTAAATAAACTATAGACATCCTTCCCATATGTCTGAAAAGTTATTTTATAATACTGTATTCAGGTAAGGAAACTCATTACCTTTCCCAGGTCTACCAGTTAATACCTGCTCTGAGTTTAGTGTTTTATTATCCCTATGTGTTTCCCCATGGTTTTACTACATATTTGTGTATCTTGTGTATAGTATTGTTTTGTATATTTTAAAATAGATGGTGTTTTATGTATTCTTGAGCAACTCTCCCTCCCCTGGTGTTTCTTATCTGTATGGATTCCTCAATTAGGTTTCATTAGGGTGGGTACATGTTAGGTCGTTTGTCCTGTGACATGGTGTTATATTATAGGCCTATACCACATTTTAGGCCTTTACCATTTATTTCCCCTTTCCTTTGTTGGTAGTCCTTTAGGTAGTGGTTCCCATTTTTTAATAACTACAAATATTACTGTAGGTATTCTTAAACAGTTTTTGTCTGATTCTGTTTTTGACACTGCAGTTACCCTGAACTCCTTTTTCTTTGTTCTTTCTTGTCTTTTTTTTTTTTTTTTCCAGTATTGGGAATCAAACTCATGACCTTGCACTTGCCAGGCAGGCGCTGTGCCGCTGAGCTAAATCCCCAGCCCCTGTTCTTTATTTTCTTATCTTAGCCCTTCTCTAACCTTGAGTCTAAAACTGTAATGGGCATTTTTCTTCTTAAGGCTCTTAGAACTTTATTTTAGTTAGCTTTTGTTTTACTCTTTGTTTCTGTTTCTTATTTTGTCCTTAATAATTTACATTTATATATGTCTAATATAGTTTACTTCTAATATCGTAAGACTGTAGGAACAATCACAAGTGTGCTTTATTCTGGACAATTTTTGTCTGCTAATGTACCTTTTAAAAAATTTAGGGTTTATCTTTTAATTTTTTTTAGAAATATATATACAACACCCTGGTAGTAGGTCAACATCATATAATTAGGAGTACTTTTGTCAGCAGTACCTTTTGTAACGATGATGCTGATAGTTTGGGTGGCATTTCTAAATGTGTTTTCCTATATCATCAACCTTGTGTTGCTTATTTAAGAAGGAACTGTTGTTATCCATGTGTAAAACTTGACATGTAAATTTGAGTTGGATACTTTACCTTTGTCCACCTTTCATGTCAACGTGTAATGGAAAAATTTTAATTCTTACCTCACAGGGTTATTGTGAGGATTGAGGGAGATCTGAGAAGTAGTTTGGGGGACACAGCCTTCTAGTTGGATTCTTTTATCTTTTTGCCTTGCTGTGTCTTTTAATTTTGTTTTTCCTATTTTGTCTTTCTTTTCCTTCCCTTCTTTTTTTGGATGAATCCAGCATGTTAGTGAACCTGTCATATAAACAAAAGCATTTTATGCTATATATTTTTTATCTTAAAGAGAAAAAAAAACTAGCAGAATGACAATGAAGACAAAAACAAGAACAACACAGAAACAACAAAAATGATACATGACCTCAAAACAAAATGATAGGAATTAACAATGGTTGCTATACTGCATATTGTTATCTTTAACGAAGTTGCTCAGTCCATCACATGTAAGAATGCAAGATTGATCAAACAATCAAAGACAATAACAAGTAATAAAAAAAAATAGAAACGATACAGAGTTTCACCATACAAGGTGGTAGGAATTCAACAATGCGTTTTAAAGAGACTGGGAAATACTAATTCCTTCTAGACAAGAGTTTTCAAGTTGTATGTAGCTGCAGATAAAATGTAATTGGTTAATAAAAGGTACACTGGACAGAGAGGTTGTGTTTGGCCAAAATAGCAAGGGAAGGGTCAGCTAAGTAAAACAGATTTGGGTTGAGTTAGAGGTCAGTGCTCAGGTGAGGTGTCTGCGGGCAGTGGAGTTGGGAGAGCAGACTGATAGAACATTGCTTTCTTTGTTTAGGAGGATGAAGGAGGCTGTGAGGATAAGCAAGGAGCAGACTCTCAAGGGACAGAGATAGTCAAGACCTGGCATAAAGTTTGTAGTTACTGATTCAACTCAAAAAGTAATTGTTGAAGTTAAAGGTTATATAGGAATAGGAGAGAAGCAGGTAGCAAGTGAGAAGAGCAGGATGGTGAGTTGTTACATGAGGAGCCTGGTGGTTTGACCCAAGTTGTCAGACTGCTGCTGGGGCTGGTGATGCACCACTGACCACCTCATTTAGTCTTACTGGACTTCAGTTTGCTTGTCTGCACCCTTTTTGCTTTAAAAGAATCCGTCTAGTTCACCAGTGTTCTTCTTTTTCATCTCGCTTTTTTTTTTTTTGTTTTACTTGACTCTGAATTTTTGTTACCTTGACTATAATACTTTGTTTTTGTTTTTTGAGACAGGATCTTGTTGTTGTTGAACTCACTGTGTAGCCCAAGCTGGCTTTGAACTTGTGATCTTCCTGCCTTAGCTCCCTAAGTGCTGGGATCATAGGTATATGTCACCACACCCTGCTCATAATTATTTATTTTTTCTTTTTGTTTGAGACAGGGTTTTGCTCTGTAGTTCAGGCTGGCCTTAAACTCACTATGAAGTCCAAGCTGGCTGCAAACTTGCAATGATCCTCCTCTTCAGCCTCTTGAGTCCTGGGATTACAGGTACATGCCATGATGCTTGGCTTATTTTATGTTTATTGCATGGAATTCACTGGGGTGTTTGTGTGGGTTCTTACCTCTCTAGACATCTCCATGAATAGATTCTCAGATTAAGATCCATCTTGAGGCAATGGGCAGGAAATAGATGGATCTGAGATGAAACACATCCTTTCTCGAATGTCGTGAATCTAGGCATTTGATTTTGAGACATAGTAAATTCAGAAATACTATTTATTTATGAGGATAAATGAGTGCCTTAAGAGATCAGCAGATAGAGAAGTTTGGGCTGAGGGTCATGTGTCACAGATGCTTAATGAATTTAAGTGTTAAGAAATCCCTGGAATTTGTACATGGAAGGAAGGACATTCCAGGTGGAGGTAACAGCTACAGAGAGCAAATTTAGAGAAGGCAAGTAAGAGGGGCTAATGTGGTGAATAGCATTGGTTTTATTTAATTAATTTATTTAATTTTTAAATTTTTTTTTTTTTTTTTTTTTTTTTTCTGAGACAGGGTATCACTCTGCAGTTCAGGCTGGCCTTGAACTCACGATGTAGTCCAGGCTGGTCTCGAACTTAGCAATCCTCCTGCCTCAGCCTCCTGAGAATAGCATTGATTTTAATGTAGAGAATATGATTCAGACACTTTAGTTGAGGGATCCAGCTTTACATCTAATCTGGAAAAAACAAAAGATGAAATGTCAGTGGAAGAGTACTGCTTGTTGAAGTGGAAAAGAAAATTTAGTTTTTAAGATTTTGTGTATCATTTTTAAAATGTGAGAGACAAGAATCTTCTTGAAAATGCTAGAGTAGGCCTCAGGTAGGTATGTGATGGCTAGATTGGGTAGTGAAGGAATGTAGCAGAGTTCTGGATTTAAAACTTTAGAGAATGTGTTAAGAAGAACTCAGTTAAAGACATATCAGGTAGCTAGGTGTGGAGGCATTAAGCTGGGAGGTAATCTCAGAAGATTACCTGAGAAGGCTGAGGCAGGAGGATCACCATGAGTTCACAACCAGTTTGGGCTACATAGTGAATTCAAAACCAACGTGAACTACATAGTGGCACCCTGTCACACAGATAAACAAACACACAAACAGAAAGGTGTATGAAGTAATTGTCATCAGGGACCCACTAGGTATTGTCTGTGGAGGCCTCCGCTAAGGCTAGGTGCCACAGAGTAACAGTGATCCTGGTTGGGTAGCTCTCCAGCTGGCAGCCTTGACAGTAGGAGTAAAGAGAATGCAGTGATTCTGCTGGGAGCAGCTGTGTTTTAGAGCTTTAGAGTACAGGGTTTGTGCTCAGGAGCTCTCCATCAAGGACATTGTTGCCAGAGAAGTCATCCCTGAGACAATGGACCCTGGACCAGCGTCCTCGGGCACATGAGGCCAGAAGGTGTCTGAAATGGGGCGAGAGAGCATGTCCAGTGCGTGCGGGTCGTGGGCCGCTGTGGAGCCATTCCTACACTGCTCATTTTAGTTTGGGTTAGTTCTCTAATGACAGGAATCTTGTTTCTTTGGGGTCATAGATGTGGAATATTACTTGCATCTCTGGTTTTACTTGTTCTGTTTGGGTCATTGCCAGTAAAGTAATACTGCTGTTTCTATGGCATTTTCTCTCCTTTTGGTGAATATAATGTTTACCATAAATATATAAATTCCATGAGAAACTTAAGTAGGGCAAATGCTCAACAGGGAGAAGTTCAAAATACATAATTAAAGCTATTCCTAAGTTTATAAAATATGTAAAAGTACTAAAAATGTACTTTTTATAGGAGGAAAGTTAAAATACCTTGTGAGGAATTGTTAACTGTAGTCACGATTCTTAATATCTGTAATTCGCCTGTCTCTCCATGCATGTATGCTTGTGTTCATCTACTCATGTGATGTGTGTTCCCCCCAGGAGCTGTGCAGGCGGACAGTAGGGGTAGAATGCCGAATAAGACAGATACTGCTCTTTCATGGTGTGGGCAGCGGGAAGGTGGACATTAAACAGTTCTATAAGCAAAAGTTTAATTACATTGCAGTAAGTAGTGTGAGGGCAAATTTTAGGGTGCTGAGAGTCGGGGCTAGACTAGGTCATCTGGGGAGAAAGTGGCTAGAACACATGTGAAGGGGCAGAGTATGGTGGAGGTAGGGGTGAGTGGACAGAGGCTTAAAGCTTTTGAGGGTAGATGTAGACTTGGCATTATGGAAACTCCCCAAGAAAACCGGAGGGGCAAGAATTTGTGGGGGTCCAGATGAAACTGGACGCAGAGATAGACAGGACACAGTATGTGTAAGATCGGAATAAAAATGAAGTGCAGTCTTCTCTTAGAGACAGAGCAGCAGAGTGGGAAGACTGGGAAGCCTGCAGGGTGAGGCTGTGCTGTGCCAAGTAGGGAGCGGCGTCCCTGTCAGGTCAGGGTGCTGCTTGGGTCCTCAGTTATTACTGAGCATTAATTGTTACAAAATACGGAAGCAGCTCTTTCTCTTGTGGTTTGAATCACTTGATTAGAAATGTCAGAATTAAGTAAAATTATCTTTAGCAGTATGAAAGCATCTATAACCTCTCCTAACAGTGCAGATTATAATTTATAATTGGAGTTGTATGTTTTAAACGGAAGTACAGTGTCTTTATTCTCTAGGTTCTGTTTAGTTTCTTGCTTAAAGAAACAGACTGATTTGGTGTTTAAGGATTTTAGTAAATTTGTACATTTGTAGGCATTATAAAGCATTTATATGTTAGCCTAAGGTTCATCTTAATTATAACAATATGTGTTAAATGAAAAAATTTGGAAAATTCATAAAAACGTAAAAAGGAAAACAAATATCACCACTAATTCTACATTCTGCTGACATTTTGGTGCTTTTAGTTTTGACGTGTATTTGTGTGTATGTTAAGAAAAGTGAAAATATATTGTGTATATTTAACATTGAACCTACTTTCCCTCATTTATCATTAGCAATTTCTATGTTAGTAAATGTTCTTTGAAAATATTTTTAGTGGCTGTATAATAGTTTAGTATAAGTATGTATCATAATGTGTTTGATTATTTTCTACTTACCAAATGTTTGCTTATTTCCTTTCCTCCCTATTAGTAACTGTAATGGAAATCTTCATGTATAACATGTTATTGTTAAAGATAATATGTGCAAAGTGATTAGAACAGTGCCTGGCACATAGTAAAATGTGCCTGTTATTATCTTCAAAAATTTTTCCCTCCAGCTGTCTGAGCATTAGCTCAGATAACACACGTCTCTTAATGTTCCTGTTGCTTCTGTCATTGGTACTGTCAGGAGGGTTGTGGAAAACCAAAAAGGAATGGGATTTTATTTAAGTGTAAAAAGCCTTGTTCAGTGGTGAGGCAGGGTGGAGGATGATCCTCTCATATCCAGTAGTCATAATTCAAATCAGATTCATGAGTTGATCTATATAGTATCAGTTGAGATCAAAATTTTTATGTAATGAAGTGTAAGTTGGTTTTTCACTGTTTGATTTATGCTCTATATTAGATCCATTTACTTCAAGTTCTTAGAAGATGATGGGATGAATTTCTCTAAATATAACTATTAGCAGCCCTTCTCATGGTGCCACTTATTGGAGACCCCCACATTGGGTTCCAGTTTCCCACCTGGGTTATGGTGCATGGTGGGGAAGGAAAGAAAGAGCAAGAGACAAAGTAGAGGAATGCATAGCAGGAATCTGGGACCACTAGTTGCTCTCTAGGAGCAAAAAGGCCCCAGTGTCCAGCTAGCTAGCCTTATATTAGCCAGTGTAGGGGAGAAGGCAGGGTCGGTGCTTCTCCTGGAACAGCATAGAGACTGTAGTAGAATGGGCACGTTTTACATCATAAAGGGAATGAGCCAAGATCCAACCCCACACCTAGGTGCTAATCTCATTGACCAAGATTAGTTGATTTCCACATTCCAAAACCAGCCCAGGAGGCAGGCAGGACTAGGAGAGCCTAGGACATAGTATGTCAGTTTACAGTTCCTGGTCCCCAACATACAACCTTACTTGTACTTAACTTTCATGTGATGATTTTAGAAATGAATTTCTGTACTACTGAGGGAGATTAAGTATACCACATTGTAGCATAGGGATGATCACATCTGGGGCTCTAGATGATCTCAGCAATTGTTGCTCCTTTCATTGACCAGTTTTTGAATGAGCTGATACTAAGAGACCACCTTTCCTACCCCCAGTTCCCTGCTTTTCTACCCAATTTGGGATGTCCAGCTCACTTCCAGAAGCACAGGCCAATCTTTACTGTTGTTTCATGTTTTTCCCTTTTAAAAGTTTTATCAAATTAATAAAAATGTATTGAACATATACAAGGTATTATTTTCTAGGAAGATTTCTTGGGGTAGGTTTTTAAGAGATGAATTACTAGAATGTCTACCTGTTTACCTAGGGAATAAAACAATACACATACAACCCTCGGGGGAAAAGTAGGAATATTCAGGCATATTCAGTGTGCTTTGGATTCTTAGGGAAGAATGAATGCAAACAGATGTTGCTAGACTTCATAAAAGACAATATTTGAGTTTAAGTTTGAGTTTTGACAATTGCCTTGTGTAAAAGTACTGTGACTAATGAATGCGGGCAGAGCTGTAGAGTGGAATTTGTAATTATATCAGTAAATCTGATTTCTGGTACCCTGGCCCATTCCTACCTTTATATGGAGTAGCCTTTCTCATCGGAATATTATTTTTTGTGGTGCTGGGTATCAAACCTCAGGCCTCACATGTGCTCTTATCACTGAGCTACACAAATTTTAGGAGCTAATTATTACTTCATGCCTTTAAAATATTTTCCCTAGGTGTGGTGTGGTGTTACTTGTAATCCCAGCACTTTTTTTTTTTTTAATCCCAGCAATTTGGAGGCTGAGACAGGAGGCTCACTCTGAGTTTGAAGTCAACATGGTTTACATAGTGAGTTCAAGGCGAGCCTGAACTACATAATGAGACCCTGTCTCAAGAAAAACTTTTCCACCTATATTTTTAAATTTTTTTCTTCTATCTGCC